GTCGAAATTTTAGACATTTACTTAAAATTTCGGTTTCTTGGGCATTACTATCCTTTGGACAGACATACCTAACATTTTTGTTTTAAAAGATAACCACCAGCGGATTTTTGTAAAAACAGTTTGAATATTTTCTTTAAATAACTATGCGATAAGTTTGGGCAATAATATCTTAGAAATCATTCATTTGATTAAACTTTCATGATTAAAACAAACAATCGCATTTTTTGCTGTTCTGTATATTTATCTACTTTAAAAACAATTATTGGTGATTTTTTCATAAAATTAACGTAAAAAATTTCAAACATAATCTAGCCAAATTCCATTTAAAAAAAGTATTCATCTACCTGTTTTCAAGCTACTGATTAAAATTAGTCGAGAAATGCATTTTCCCCAAAATGTCACAGTTTGACGTCTCGAAAAATAATATTTTACTTTACCAACTTCATTACCTCCCCTGTATCTGTATCGTATGCCCTTAACGTAATAAAAGTTTCCATGACGCCTGTATGTTGACTTTTAGAAACAAGGACGTCAAACTACTATGTTATTTTGAAATTTGTGCTCAGACAAAATCTGTGAAGTTAAAAATGAACGACGAAACGGAACCATTAGAATCAGAGCAGTTAGAAGAAATAGAAATGCAAGTTATTAAAGGGTATTCGTATGAGAGACTTCAGTCGGAACTCCAAGTTGTCGAGAAAGAATCACCAGAAGGAATCGCTATCACAATAAAAGATGACGATATCTTCCGATGGAGAGTGAAAATACAAGGACCAAAAGATACTCCATATGAAGGAGGTACATTTGCTCTAAAATTATATTTTCCATCAGGATATCCAGAAAGTCCACCACTGATTTCTTTCAAAACTAAAATTTTTCATCCTAATGTTGATTCATTCGGAATTGTTCACATGGACATTCTGCTTCCATCGAATTGGTCACCAGAAATAACAGTACTAGATATGTTGAAAACAATTCAGGACTTATTTGTTTACCCAAAGCCGACTGAGTATGGAGACCCTCATGTATTATCAATGTATCAAAAAGAAACACAACGGTTCGTCGAAGAAGCTAAACAGTGGACTGAAAAGTATGCTATGGAAAGGAAGAACACTTTTACAAGGAAACTTAAAATGTTAAATTTCAGATGTTGTGGAAATCAAAATAAATATGTAAAAGAATAGTGTAAATAAATCTGTCTAAATTGTCTACACTAGTGCCTGGTTTTTTCTATGAAACAGTAATGAATGTTAATTTCCAATGGTCAGGAACAAAAATGTTTGTCGTAAGATTTTTTTGTAAAAAGGGCTCCTGAAGGATCCAACCAAAACCCCATTCCACAATAATCATAATTCTGTCATATGATAACATTATTACATGTGAGAAAAAATGTAAAGTTTTCAAATCTACCCGGATCCAGACTTATTTTCTAAACAATTAAAAAATACAGCTACCAACTAACTCTCACTTGCAATTTTGCATAATTCATTACTTTTGCTGTACTATGCTGACTGCCCAAGGCTTGGGGTGGGTGGAATTTGTGCTTAACGCTCACATTAATTAAAATCCACCAATTACAATGTGTATCTAGTGCATCCCAAGGACTTTTAGTCAGGTGCTTGTAATTTTGTACCTGTAAGTGTGATCTTTAGTTGATAGCTTTCATTCTCTCATTAGTTATACCAAAATGCCAGTCAAACTTTAAAGAATAACAATCCCATTTAATCTATATATTGTCTGCGACAAAGAAAACGTAGACCCAGTTCATTTTTGTAGTTTTATGCGTTATAGGAAACCTTTTTAGTGGCAATCGAAATTTTCTGCCATTCATCTGTCGTAGCTTCATATTTTCTCGTCCAGAATAAGCATGAAATATTTGCCATGCACTGTTTATTCAGCAGGTCACAATTTCATATATCTATACATCGTCGGCTTTCGACAAGTTTGCCGGCTCTGAGAAATAGCGGTTGAGATTTCAATCCACACCAAGAAAATTCTGAATGTTTAATTTTGATTTCTCTCATGCATGGTTTAACTTGATTAAATCCGCAAATTTTACAAGTGTTAGCTATAGTACTTTTAATCCAGCGGCTAAATGTTTCAGATGCGTTTTGTGTATTTTTTATGTGCTTCTGCCAGTAAGGTTTTCATAGATATAAGAAGATGTGGTATGAGTGCCAATGAAACAACTCTCCATCCAAGTCACAATTTGTAAAAGTAAACCATTATAGGTCAAAGTACGGCCTTCAACATGGAGCCTTGGCTCACACCGAACAGCAAGCTATAAAGGGCCCCAAAAATGACTAGTGTAAAACCATTCAAACAGGAAAACCAACGGTCTAATCTATATAAAAAACGAGAAACGAGAAACACTTATGAACCACATCAACAAACGACAACCACTAAACATCAGGTTCCTGACTTAGGACAGGTGCAAACAAATGCAGCGGGTTTAAACGTTTTAATAGGCGCCAACCTTCACCCTACCTTTAACAATAGTGTAACATCACAACATAGAAAGACACACTATAAAATATCAATTGAAATGGCTTAACTCAATCAAAAGACATATTAACAAAAACAAGTGAACATACAATGAAGGAATAAATTTGATCTATGACACAATGTAAATACAAAATTAATAAAACAAGGGGGTTAGCATGTTTATAGGAATCTACTTCTAAGTTCCGTTAGCTTGATTATTTCGTAAGAATTGTTTCCAAATTGAAAAAAAGCAACCGTTCTTTTTCTTATTTGTTGTTTGAGTAAACAAATATAGGAACTGTACGGCCATAAAAAATGATCAAAACCCATATGATACCGTATAGTAAGCCTTAAAAGATTTGTTTATTTTTCTGTTTTACTTTACTTCCGTTTTATTAATTTTTTTTTCGATTTTAGGGAGAAAATGGACGGGGGTAATTTTGTCATCATTTGATAGAACTCCCATTATGAAAGTTTAGTACTCTGTTTTATCAATTCAGCTGCATAAAACATTGGATCGACACCAAATACACGGTTTAGCCTCCCATTTAATGTTTATAAAAATATTCTTATTAGATCACAACATAATCTTATTGGAGTTATATTTCATTGATGATAATGTCCAAAACGGCATTAAGTAAGAGTGGTACTTAAATGTTCCACTACATTTTCTCTTATCTTCAATTGTGCATCTTGATAAAGTTGTTCAGCACCTTCACCGGACATATCTATTCTGAAACTCTGCTTTTTGTATTTTGATTTTGGTTGTCTACAATTTCATTTTTTAAATAATATTTTCTTTCTCGCATTTTATCCTTCACGTTGCACCTGAATTGTAAGTAGTATCCCCGTCACAATTTGTAGCTTTATATATAAGCTCAAAAGTACTAAAACAAAAATACATGCTGTATGACTTGGACCAGTGGCCTTAAGCTTTGTTTAACAAGGTCTTCATCAGTTGTACTTGACAATGCAATGGTCTTGAAAGCTTCTATGTGAAGCTGTCTTTTGAGACCGTATATAGTGTTCGACCTCTGAACTCCTCTAGGTACACATTCTGTCATCGATGCCGAAAACGAAAAAAAAAAATATATATATTTATAAATTTGAACATATTGTATTTTAAGGTATTTATGTCACATTTTATACCAACTCTGTCAAGAGATCGAAGCAGTCAAGTATACATAATAATAATTGTGTCTTCATCGACAACAAAGACTAATGAATCTATGTTTGTATTAAGACCCCGGGGCACTCACTATGTAATGGATGGTAGAGATGAGCCACTGGAATAGGTATTTTTTTCCAAATTTCATTATAAATGATAAGGTCGAGACATTAAGATGCAATATATGACACGGTTGTTGATTGAATCATAAGTAGCTGAAACTAATCAGATGTCGATTGTTTTCTCTGATGCGATTAAAATTACAGTTGGAATTGCATTAGCTATTTTTCAAGTCTACTTATCTCCATGAAATAGCGTAAGCGTAATGCTAGGTCGTTTTATTTGGGAAAAAAAATATATAAAAGGGTACGTTTTTGTGTCATTCAAATTATATGAATAGGGTGGGGGTAATCAATCTCTCAGCTGATCACCCCTAGGACAAAAAGGTTGAAGTGCCTCCTTGAGATCCGTTGATCCGCCATGGTACATTGTTGATAACACGATGATAAACGCTCGAGGCAGAGAACTGAGAGTCCACATTTTGCCAAATGTTTGGACTGTTCATCTGTCGAATTGTTACTCTTCGGCAAGCCAGAATTTACAAAAAGTCCGAATTCGAAAAATTGCATTTTTTTTGGGTCCTGTCTTGACCAACAAAAAAGAGGCTTATACGATCGATAAGATGATATTTGGCAGTCCGTTAATCTGCCCTATGAAAAAGGACAAAAACAGGAAATAGTCTATCGATCGAACTTGAAAATTGGCAAATTCGAACTTCCCATGCCGAAACAGGATCAACCAGAGCCATAACTTTGCATACACTATAAATTCTTTCTTAAAATATGTTCGAGCTGGTGTTTGAGAAAAAGAATGAGTGTGCATACAGTAACGCGACACGTTTCATTTTGGCCCAATGTTGAAAATTAAGAAGGAGCTGCCAAAGATAATGTTGGTTTGTATGGGGGTATTTTGTGTTTAAGGTGTATGTTAATTTTTTGAGTGTGAAGAGCTAATTAAGTTGCACAATTTGGCTAATTAACGGAGATGCTTACACATTCTTTAATTGTAAGCAGTGTTGAAATTTTGACCCATTTGGGATAAATATTATGAACTTTATAGGACATTTCATTCAATTTTATAAACCCCATTAAAATCACAAAAACAAAACCGTTATGTCACAGGTAGTTGTGTCTCTCAGTGAACGTTTTTTACTTATATAATTTAGTTATATTAAGTATATAGGTAAATTATTTTCAGAGAAAACTGCCTGTGCGTTTTGTATATGCTTTTAAAAATACAAGGACGACAACACTGTAAAAGTAGATGAGTTAAAAATAGTAATTGGAAAACCAGCAAGTATTACTTCCTATTTAAAGAACACACAAGGAATGTAAGTATGTCCAAGTATACCTTTATACTAAATATTGTGTAATTGAGTGACCTATTGCTATGATACATTGCTATTTTGATCATCTGTTGACATATTCAGAATTTTTATATTTTTAGTAGTAAATTAACATGATTAAAGGTTTTGCTTTCGGTTCTGTTAAAAATAAGATGCCATTTTGCATGTCACAAGTTTTGTACGCACATCCTTATTGTTTTGTATGAGTAATGAAAGTATACATACTTCTTTCTAGAAATGTATGTACATGAATGCGTTTTCTTTTCATATGATCACAAGCATATTCTAATAAATTATGACCCCTTTCAAAGTTTGGTTTTGATATATAAATAAAATATATTGTTATCATTGTGAGCAATGAAGTTTTAACTTCCCAAATTCGGTTTCATTATACATAACACACCGTGTTACTAAAAATGCCTTTTCGAGTGCCAGGCATGTCCTGCCTCCTATAAATTATGAATTTTAGTGGGAAAACGAAACTTGTCCATGCTTAAATACCGCCTTACGTTTGTTGTTATTATTCATGTAATGCATTTTCTTCATATTCACTAACAGACCATCACAAACAAATTTACATATAATTTACTAGGAGCTAGATATAAGCTTATACAATTTAAAGAAAGATTATTTCTAAAGAGAAAATGTTGAATGGCCTACATATTGAAATAACAGATCTTAATAAAAGTTCAACTATAAACATGTTTATACAATCATATATATATATATATATATTTCAAATTTAAAGGTGGCGGATACTACAATGACTTCCATGAGTAAAATTCTATCCTGCTGATGGATATTGACGCAAAGGTAATTTACTAAATTGCTAGTTTCATCAGATGTGTGTCTTCATTTTGCCATGTCTTTTTATCAATTAAAATAAATATACACCAGATCCTTTTTTTACTGGAGAGAGTACTTGAAAGCAAATTTAAATCATATTATTAAACCTTCTACGTGTTCAAACTTCCACTGAAGACATTTCGTAGATGAACACGTCTCAGCAACGAGTGGACAAGTCACTTATCATAAGGCTTCTACTAAGCCCTGGCATCCAGTTTTACACAAAAAAATTACATGTTTCCATTTCTACCCACATATATTTTTATGGTGCATAGCCCAGCTGGTTCAGTGTTGCATCTATTCTTTTACAGTTTCCTCTCTTATAGAATAACCATACATTGTCTCAAATTTTTTTTTGAGAGTGAGTATTCTTATTTGTGGAAAATAAGAATAGAGGAACAGCACATATCGACAGCTTTTACTGTAAGAGTTTCTTGAGATGAAAGTACACATCAATGGAAATAAGTTGAAATATAAAACACACAAGTTGAGGTCATTTACGATTTATGCGTATACCTTTATCTGTATAAATAAACATCTATTTACAGTATGAAATGGGTTGACGTGAGTTATATGAATGTCTTAAAAAATGACCGAAACTTTATCTTCTTTGTTACGAATTATAAACTTTTTGGAGGCGTTCGACTTAGTTTTCATCAATACAATAAAAATGATTTTTCACATCCATCTTTTTAAAGAAATATTTAACAAAACAAACAGGTTGAAGAATTGTTTTATAATAAAGCTATGTTTTGATTGTTTTTACTACAAATACTATAATTGTTCAAGTGCTTTTTGGGAAAGAATTTTACTATAAGTTTACTATGTAAATTTTAGTTTTCCACTGATCTAGATAGAACAGATGGTTTTGTACTCACAACATTACAAGTTAAGACATCTACATGATGATTGACATGTCCCAAGCCAGGATCTGTGTCAGTTATTTTTTTATTTCTTAAATCGTATTTAGCAGATCTATGGTAGTCTCGGTAGAATTCACTAACAACTTCTATATAACTCGTGTCGATTAAAGCCGTGACCTGCTATCGTGTGCATGGTTTTGATTCAATTTTAGAATTGAATGCTTCTTTTCGTAAATTTATTGAAATTTATTGAAGGGTGAAAGCGTTGACTGAAGCACATTTTGTATTTTATAACCCTATACCATTATAGAAAGAAGCTTTCGATTCTTATAAGTACATTTTTATTTTACAACAATAAAATAACTTTTAGTTTGTGTTCCTCTGTAATGTTGTAATGTTGTTATGTAGAGCATGTGTAGTCATAGATGTTGCATGTTATTGTGAAATAAAATAGTAATTTGGAATATCTCGCGATTGTTGTCTACCAATCAAAATTGCGGAATCTTATAAAACATATATGAAATGTTATTACTGTGTTATTGGATTGCTTTCTCACTATGTTCATTTCACTTATGTTTACAGGAGGAAAAGTGAAAAAGATGAAAAATATGAATTAATTTGTGATTGATTTCGAATGTAAAATCACGATATAATCAACCTTCACTTTATATTTAATTTTTTAATTTTTTTATTTAATTGTAGCTTTCCACAATTAATCATGCAATACAGGAACTGAAACAGACACAAAGAAAAATATGGGAAAAAGTACACACGAACAGGTAATATAAAAATAAGTTCATGTGGTATGATTGCCAATGAGACAACTCTCTAAGTTAGCTATTTCAAAGATACCTGTTCCAATTAATGAAAACATCCTTACCTATATATATATATATATTTGGTGCCACGATATCTCAGTAGCATGAGTTCGAATCCCGGCCTGGGAAGAACAAAAAATTTGCTTCCGCAAATTTACAGATCTAACATTGTTGGGCTGTTTAGACGAATTATATATACAAAATAGATTTTCAGTCTTGTATCACCATCACTGCTGGTGATCCGATGGATAAAATCTGTTGTAGAGTCGTCACTGGTTCAGACGTACTTATATATATATATATATATATATATTGAGGTAAATTATATGGCCTTCCAAATACCGTTTCGATCCCTAACATCACTGAAGAGACATTAATTGTCGAAATCCGGATATGGTGTACATATTTTTGCACCTCATGTTTGTGGTATACCATCTTTTCCACAAGTTTATTGTTTTCTGTTTGGTATTAAATTAGTATTAAGATCCATTTTGTTAGATCTGGTGATCAATTTATTTGGCAATCGCCAATGGCAGTCAGCAGGGTTTAAGAACATCAGTTGTTCGACCTGTTAGTCAAATGCGTTTTGTTAAAATAAACTTTTTCACTTTTTTTGGTCTTTTGAAATTGTTGTTTGTGCTGTATTTAGACCCCTCTACCACGAAATTTGTTTTACATGCACACGTATAAAAATTATAAAAATTGCGGTTTTTATCCAACACAATCATAGGTTTGAACGTTGTTTTCAATTTAGACTTATTTATATATATATATAAATAAGTCTAAATTGAAAACAACGTTCAAACATATATATAAATAAGTCTAAATTGAAAACAACGTTCAAACCTATGATTGCGTTGGATAAAAACCGCAATTTTTATACGTGTGCATGCAAAACACATTTCTTGGTAGAGGGGTCTAAATACAGCACAAACAACATTTTCCAAAAGACCAAAAAAAGTGAAAAAGTATATATATTTATATATATGTTCATGTATGTTAAAATACTTTGTCTTTTAAGTTTGTCATTTGCCAAAAAGTTTATAAAAGAAATTGACATTTGAGTCTATTGGAAATAAAAACTCTTTAATTGTTTTTTCTTTGCATTGGTTATTAGCTGTCTAAATGAAGAAACTGTTATTCTTAGTTCGTATCAACAATTCTAAGTTGTAACCAGCAACACATTTTTTTTCAGATAATTTTATAAATATATTTATGGAAACAAATGCTTATTATATTCAAATGTTTATTAAGAATGCTATAGTACTATTTTCTTTTCATTTATAGCGAAGATACGTTTCATAACCTTGTTAAAAAGCAGTTTGAGAGTAAGTTTGCAAAATGGTATATATATATACTTAGACAAAACAGTTTCCTATAAAAACAAACATACGAGTGGATATTTATTTTCATATTTTATATTAACAGTAACTCATGTTATTTCAAATATCACGAAAATGGATGAAATGATTTTTTTTAAAAGAAATCAAATGAATAAAGAGGCGGTAAGTAATCGCATAAGTCGAAAAGAGACACAGAATCATAGCAAAAACGAAAAACGACAAATAGACAAACAGCAGTCGTCAAAACACTACATAAAAAAGTAAAGACTGAGCAACACGAACCCTACCAAAAATCGGGGATGATCTCGGGTGTTTCAGAAGGGTAAGCAGATCCTGCACCACACAAGGCATTCTTCGTGTTACTCGTCTAAAGTATATCAAGTGATCAGGTATCACGCAATGGTGTACTGGTCTCTTATCAAACACTTTTGCATCACCAAATTAGTAAGCCATAGGTCGCGTAAATATTTTAACCCTAAAACTTGACCGGATGTGAAATTTTGAAACTGAAACACGTTTTTAAAGACAAAGGATAGACAAGACTTACCATAGAATCAACATAGACCTTTAAAAATAAAAAAAACATAAAGTATAACACTGAAAACCAGAGTATGAGCAACACTAACCTTACTATTGGATGTTCTTATGTTCTCCGGAAGGATTAGCAGATCTTGCCCCACATGTCACCCCCATCGTGTTGCTAATGGTCAGTTCAAATTCGGTGTTAAGTCACATTCGATGATGTTACAATCGAGGAAAAGTGGACAGGAATGTGGCTACGACAATTGGAACACATCCGTGGTCGTGTGCGACACAGATATTCATAACGGTCAACCAACTGAGGATAGCGTCCTAAAATCTGCTTGGTGATAACTTTAACTAAAGCATTAGAACCATAGGTTCAATAGCTTTCTTATAAGCAGCAATCCTCTATTAAGTAAATCATGTTAGGAAACACAAGCGGTTGAAATTCGTATCAACTTGGAGATATATACTTCATACACAGATGCTGTTGGAATGTTGCTACATAGAAATGGAAAGTTCACAATTGGATATCTGAAAATGTCGTAAATATATATTCTGACCCGACCCTCAATAAAAGAACGACCCTTATTGTCAATTTCTAGATGTTAGTCGAGATATGAGGCAGACTTAATTGTATCTGTGGTATCCTTTATTTCAATTTCGATTAGATATATGAGTTCAACATAGTCTCCAAAATTTGAATAATTTAGTTCATGGACATCATCTTTATAGCAGAACGTGAACTAAAAAGATGATGATAGTTTCTTTTTGTTCTTCCGAGAAGCCCCTGTATGAAGTTTGCTCATATGAAGAAAGGAACAAATCGTCAAGAAAAGGGCCACGGTATAATTTGTTCCAAAAGGATTGCCGATAGTGTGTTAAAAACATTTCCTCAAATGTAACAAATATGTAGTCAATTAAAAAAATTCAAGCATCTTAAAGATGTAAATTTTAGAGAATTTGTTTTGTTTGAATGTTTGTTTACAAAACATGATTTATTATAAAACAAAATATTTGTATCTACGTTGGTCATTTTTTTTTATGAAACAAAAGTTTATAGCGAAAAGTAAGCTTGGAAAAATCAATACTACCAAATAATCAAAATATTTAAATATTTAATGAAAATGATTTAAAAGCCATACTGATTTATTGACCTCTATGCTTAAGCATCAGTCATCTGCTGAAATTGATTAATATGCAGAGCCTCAAATTAAAAAAAAAAACACCCATCATTGAACGTAACCGTAATACGTAATTTATATGTACCCTTTATTTTTTCAATTAAAAACTGTTTACCAATGTTAGCATTTAGTATTTTATATTATTATACTATGATATTTCTTCACCTTAACACATATCTAATTTAGAACTGGACGAGATTATACGGGATTTAGAAGACAAATATGGAAAGCATTACAGTACGTTAAAAGAAGTCACGAACATGGTGGTTACATTGCTGTCGAGAGTTGGTGAGCTTACGATTGACATTAAAAAACTTAAACGATATACATGTAACACCAAGTCACAAGTAGAGGAGACAACTGATCAGAGGTGCCATTTACGAAAAACTGCTACAGTTACACCGAACGAACAAAGTGGGCATCTGGAAAATTCGCAAAATACTAATGAAGACAACGACCTTCTTGACGATGGCATTTCTGGGAAGCATACTGAATCTACAAATGGTAATTTTGAATGTGGAATTTTTAGTCATATTTCGTCTGTGGAAAAACAACCAGATGGAAGAAAAAATTATTTGGACAACAAAGATAACTTTGCACAAGCAGTTAACAGAATAAATAATTCAGACAGAAAAGACAGAAAAAAACATTTCTCATCTAACGAAGCAGAAATAGGTAGGACCAATAAAACAGACACCAAAGACAGCTTTGCAGAAACAGTTAACAGAATAAATTATTCAGATAGAAAAGGCAGAAAAGACAATGTCTCATCTAACGAAGCACAAATAGATAAGACCAATACTACAGACACCAAAGACAGCTTTTCTGTTGAGGAAACACAACATAAGGAGAGAATACACGATTCAGAGAGCAATGATAACAACATTAATGTTTCCTTGGACACAGCTTGTGCAGATTCGAATAAAAAGAACAATGAATTAGTTCCAATAGAAACAAATATGCATCAAAATCAGCAGTTAGCTGAAAATCTGTCAAAAATGAAGAATTCCTTAGATGTTGGAACAGCTACAATAAAGACAGAGGATAAAATTTCACCTAGTCATGTAAACAGAGTACGCAAACATGATTCCGGATATAAGCAAAAACGTTCAGCAATGAGTTCTGATAACCGTGTGGCTTATCATAGATCCAATAATTTAGACACTAATAAAGAAGACGACTTTTTCGTTGAGGAAACACAGCATAAGGAGAATATTCACGATACTGAGAGCAATGATAACAACATAAATGTTTCCTTGGGCACAGCTTATGCAGATTCGAATATACACAACGATGAATCAGTTCAAATAGATACAAACATGCTTCCAAATCAGCCACTACCTGATAATATGTCAAGATTGAAGAATTCCGGATATGTTAGAACAGTAAAAACAAAGACAAAAGATAAGGATTCACCGAGTTCTGTAAATAGAGTATGCAAAAATGATTTCGGATATAAGCAAAAACGTTCAGCAATGAGTTCTGATAACCGCGTGGCATATCATAACAAAGAAACATGTTTTGAATTTGGACATAACGTGCAATCAGATAAACAGCTTCAAGAGGATTCGCCTCCATCACCTAATATAAAGAATAAAAGTCACCCAACCAGAAGGTGTGTAGAGTTATTGAATAATGAAATATATTCTTATACATTATACACGTATATTGGTGAAAACGTGAGTCATAAAAATATATTTTATATGTAACTCATTAAAGATTAAATGACAATTAATTCAGTCAGTAGATATTTCTAAATTCTACATGTTGATGCCAGATAAAAAAAAGCAGTGTAACTGGAATACTAATGAAAAACAAGTGTCTATGCTCATTGGATGATTCAAAAAAAGTAATAAAGTACATATGTGCCTACTGTACCAAACAACATAATAAAATCCGATTCATTTTGGGTTAAAACACACAAACAACAGTGAAAAAAATAATTAGTATTATGTGTCAGTATTTTACATTTTACAGAAAGCCAGATACGAATAGACTGTCACAAATGAGTCAACTGCACGATTTTGCTGATCAAGAATTCGGATATAGTATGTAAGATAAGAATTAGGAGATGTGGTATGATTGTCAATGAGACAACTATCCACCAGAGTCCAAATGAAATTGATGTTAGCAACTACAGGTCACCGTACGGTCTCAACAATGAACGAAACCCATACTGCAAAGCCAGCTTTAAAAGACCCCGAAATGACAAAATGTGAAACAATGCAAAAGAGAAAACCAATGGCCGAATTTATGACGAAACAATTAACGAAAAACAAAAATGACAGACAGCAAACAACAAAAACAATAAATAACTGCAGGCTCCTAACTTTGGATAGACCCATAAAGAATGTGGTGGGGCTAAATATGCTTGTTCAATCTTCCCGTAACCTGGGGCAGTGGTGTAACTGTACAACATAAGAAAAAACTTAAAAAAATCAGTTGGAAATGGCCTAACTCTACACAACTTATTGGAACAACATATTCGTACGAAGCGCAAAAAATAACTAACATAAAACAAGAGACACACAGTACCGATTTAAGAGCACTCGCAGTTACTGAAAGCTAGTTAAAAGCCAATTACAACTAATAAATAATGTTCTCCGAGTCTAAAATATCAATCAGTACGCAGCCTTCGAATTTAGAGTAAAGACGCAATAAACAGTCCGAGGAAAGCCTGAACTTATGCAATGTCGAAATATAAGTAAATAATATCGACAGGATGTAGGACCATACGTTTTCGTAACTGCATAGCAATACATATTTAGTTATGATTTAAAAACAAAATTAATGTAAGAACCGATAAAAACAATATTGAAAGAAATTACTAGGGAGTTAAATTGATAAACTTTAATATTAAGTTTTTCAAAGGATCAATTAGTTTACACGGATCGTATTTAAATAAAGGACTCTATAAACTACATCCCCGTAAATTTAGGATGTCATATTTATTAAAGAATTTAGTAAAGGGTACAACTAATTTGTGGTAACTAAATCCCTGACTTAATAATTTACCAGTTATGCATAGATAACGTTCAGTGAAACATAACACGTCACTACAGACACGAAAGCAATATGTTAACGAGCAGGAGACACTTACCTTGTCCACGCTCCCGGTATCGCTGCTTTCGGAGGTCATGCGACTCCAGAAGTCTTTGTTTTACCTTGATTTGATTTCTTAACGGTTTATGAGATTTGAACATGATAAACTACTGTTGCCATAATTTAACTTTAAGAAGATTGTTACGCAAAAAATATTATATCAATTAACAAATTAAGCATGATCTAATATTTTGCTGTATAAGTAATTCATTTTCTTGTACTTGTACATTAAATCCCTCATCCATGATTTTTCACACGCAATTTCTTTCAGTACTTGAAGTAAACCTATAACAAATTTCCAATAGCCAATTCGTGATAGGTTTTTATACACTTAATGAAGCATGTTCTTCAGTTTTTAGACATCTCAAACCTTTTCTATTACTCGAAAAGGATTTCTAAAATAGTGTCACATTTTACATGAAGTAAAATAATCAATATATGATAAAAAAAATACCAATCAATTTAAAATGCAATGCAGTCTTTCTTGTCCAAAGTTATTTGACTGTCAATTTAAAGTGACGCGTGTCTTTAAAATTCAATGTAGTGTTCAAGCATTGAAATTTGACAATTAACTGTCAATTTAAAGTCACACGTGTGTTTAAAATTCATTATCGAAATTCAAGTAATATTTGAATTAACTTTGTCATTAATGGTGCGTGAGTGTACTGTGTTAAATGAATCCAATGATAAATGAAGGTGCAAAGTCTTAAAAAGATGGAGAGTTTTTCTCTTTTGCCTTAAAACTATCACTGCAGTAAAGCAATCTCTAAAAGTGCTTCTGTCGGTTCTTCCTTGTTATTTAGTTTCAACGATTTGTACTTGCATATGGTGACAAAGGGTGCAGTTGATTGACATTTGAACATGTAACGTGTACACTACTTAAGCGTGTATATATAAACATGTACAAGTTTTGTTTCTAGTAAGATTCTGGATCCGTATTATTTTTGAATTTACAAATTAAATGGTTTATTCCAAGTAAACTATATCCTTAGCAATAACTAAATCCAAAATATATACCCTGGCTCTAAAAGTTTAAAGTGAAATTTATTCATATAAGGGTAACTCTAAAACCACCCTAATATTTGACTTGACCTCTGATTCCAACACATAAGGCACACATATCATTAAATATTCAAATATAGACAAAACATAAGGGTCAATTCATTCTGGTTATCATCCCAGTAGTCTGTGTTGACATGAATTTTCATTAATATTGTCATATTTGTATATAAAAAGTTAAATCACAAAAATACTGAACTCCGAGGAAAATTCAAAACGGAAAGTCCCTAATCAAATGGCAAAATCTTATAAGATGTTTACAAAACTTTGAATTGTTCGAAAGACTTAGAATATTCTACCTCAGGAATAGAATACCTTATCTGTATTTGGCAAAACTTTACGGAAATGTTTGCCTTTAAGGCTCTTCAACTTCGTTCTTTATATGACCATTTATATTTTTTATTCGAGCGTCACTGATGAATCTTTTGTAGCCGAAACGCGCCTCTGGCATACAAAATTATAAGCCCGGTATCTTTAATGATTTTTTTTCACAGTCGGAGGCATCTTTTAAGACAATCTTCATGTATGTTTTCCATGTATGTTTTTCAATGTCACTCATATAAGGATACTTTAAAGGTCCTTCTCAACACCAACACTTTTGCTTTCAGCGAAAACTAAAAAAAATATAAGTTTTAATTAACCTTGCTTCTTAATATTCTATTGTACCGTTTTTACAGACAATCCCAACCGTGCAGGGATTGTCGAAGGGTTCAATAATTAATTTTTGTAACATTTTGTCAATGTTATCACTAACTGCCTTATTCAAATGATAAAGTGTTCGAAGATTTGGTTTAACGAGATTGGTCATTCCACAGTCAACATCAGAAGAAGCAAACGAATCCTCATTTTCTATCATCAATGGTCTGATTCAAAAATAAAAAAGTCTTAAACAGTCAACCCGTCTTATTTCCTGTCCAACAGGTCTTTTAAATCTGGTCTTATTCCAACACTTTTATGATCATTAGTACAAAGATATTCATATCTCGGTTTGCCTCCGGAGTTTGAGCTATAGAAGTATCGGGATTAATTATCGTAGGATTTAGCTCATTGACTTAACAGAACAGGGATTATTCTATCTGACCTAATCAACGATCCATGAGTCAAAATGTTTTTTTTCCTACATTTTAGTTACCTCTATCTCTTTATCTTCTGTTAAACAATTAAACCTTGCCATCAATGACAATTTCCGATCGTTTCTTACGTAATCATTCTGTAACAACCTAATGATCCCTGAAAACTACTTCACCTTAAAATCTACTATACAAAAAAGTAAAATAATAAAAATACCGAATTCCAAGGAAAATTAAAAACGGAAAGTCCCTTATAAATGACAAAATCAAAAGCTCAATTACAAAAAGTCTGTTATTAACGCCAATCAAACATACAGTCATGCAGTTTTTCAAGAAGTCTAAGCCATTACCTTAAGAATCAGCTACTACAGCTTCAAGTCACAATGTTAACTTATGTTTAAGTTGCTCCATTGGCGGCCTCTACTTCAACAAATTTCATTTTGGCATAAAAATCAGCGTTTTCCGATTCTGTTTTTACCATAATATTGAATCAACGAACTTGTCTCTCCATTCTGCTTTTCCAGTTTGAAAAATGTGAGAACCAATCCCAATATTATAAAAGTCTTAAGTTTTGCCATATCTTCCGTTAGAGTATTTATACTTTTTTATATAGATTGCATCCATGATACAATGTCTTTCATTGACGTGTCACTAATTATAACTTTCCTTTTTCCTTCCTATAAAGTCACCATTAGTATCTTGACGTGAATAACACCACCTTCTCTTACATCATTTTCGGCTTTACTATATGCATCAACCAAACGGCAAGTCTCTAAGCATCATTTTAAACTTTCGATCGTTACTGTTTATTCTAATTCTCATTTCGGAATAAATTGCCCTGTCATGAGTGTTTCTATGTAAAAGACTATATGTACCTGCTTCTAATAAGACACTAGGATATGCCAATTTGGATCATCTCCTGGCTGACTGACCGAACTCAAGGAGGGTTTCGCTTGATTGTTTACGTTGTTTCCTAAACTGAACTCTGTATAATTCGTTTGTCGGTTTGACTGAACATGACGAATCAATATTCAAAAGATGTGTTTGAAAGGGAATACTTTTGTCTCAACTGATAAACAGCTTTAAATAAACTCGTCATAGATAACATAAATTAAAAATTTTGTAACACATTAACCGTTCCATTACCGTATAATAATGGAAAAGTTAGATTTAATATGCATAAGTACATGTAAGAAATGATTAAAAAAAATAAAAATTCGATCTACGTTAAAATATAGAGATATGTTCATTTTAACAGATCCAGGTCTTTTCAACCAACCACGATCTACTAGAGAATGGATGTCATACGCTGAACAACTGAGGGAAAATGGTAAGTGTAAAGGTATAAGATGGAAATACAATTTTGCACCAATTAGATAAGTAATTAAAAAATGGTTCAGATAGAAAAAAAATATATATGCAAATCTCAAGATTTGTGCAACGATACCGATAAGAGTTACACACGAAAAAGATGAAATTTTATCTTACGGACAAAGCTAATATTCCAGCACAACACATACACTTTGTCGGTGTAATAATGCGATTATCAATACCCATTAACCAAAAATTTGTATTTTGTCACTATTTCATTTGTCTACGCAGCATATTATATGTAACATATACGTGTCAGTTAGCACTGTTGATCACTGACACAACCCCACAGCTTTGCCTTGTTTTCATCTAACACTAACTAATTCTGCTAGCCATTGTAATTTTTTTACAGCGTGGGTTCGGTTACAGTCTGGAATGGTAGAGCGCGGACGACATGGACATGATGTTACTTTGGTGTTAGATTGCTCTGAACGGATGAGAGGTCAAAAATTTGATATTATGATCGAAACAGCAAAGAATTATGTGACGGGTAACTATTTCAAATGTTGAGAACGTCAGTATATAACTGAACATTATCTTTATTTTTTTCAGAATTGGTAGGCTTCTTCATGAATCACAGCTTAGAAAATTATTGTAACACCTATCGAACAAATAATGTTCAATTTTTGAAAATGATTTTCCATTCGTTTTCATTCTCAAACATCGTAGGATTTTTAAGAAGACAAATGAATTGTTCGAATTATTGGTTATTTATAAACACAAAGACAAGTTATTCATGAAGTGAACAAAAAACTTTTTTTTTTTGATTCGCCTCTTCACATAATGTAAACGTGTTGATTTATTTTATTTCTTAACACCATATTTGTTCTTTTTTAAAACTGCAGCGCAATATACCAATGATAAAATTTCCGTTATAGGCATTAAACAAGTTAAAATGACACGAATGTTAGGAGATAATATTGGTCTGGCTGTGTTTGGAGGAACATCTACTTTGATATTACAATCTACATGTGATTACGATTTAGTATTGAAGGAGATTGGTGAGTACAAACTATGTATAATCTGGCTTTTAGAAAGAGGAGTCGGTGAAAGAGAAAAAAGATAAATAAGTGTTAACAGAAATAAAACACGCGTGTGTGTGATATATATACAGAGCAAGTGATTAAATTTGGGAAAATATTATGTGTGTTAAATGGACATTTTCAGTTATTATATAATAGGGTATTGAGTTTTTGTACAAATAATTATTTGCCCTTTGGCGTCCGTGAAAGTACTAGCATCAAAATGAGTATTTAGTAGTTTAATTACGGAAACGGTTCTTGTTCATCATCAATGACATAGTAACCAGTACGTTATGTTTATTTTATTCATTGAACATATTGTTATACGATTTTATCAAAACTAATTTTCCATTCAAATTATGAATCTGTTGAAGATTTCTAGAATTAAATGGACATTAGCTGTTGAATTCATATTCAACGAATCGACTCAAACTCTCAAATTCGACATATAACGTACTAAAACACATATGGGAATTACATTAGTCCAATACTATACATTAAAAACTGATTGATTGATTGATTGATTGATTGATTGACTGGTGTTGAACGCCACTTTCAGCACAATTGTGCTATTTTGTGGCGGCCAGTTTTTATTAGTGGAATAAGCCGGAGTGCCCGGAGAGAACCAACAACTTTCGGTAGGAAAACTGACAATCCTAATCAATTTAGATTGGAGTCGAGAGGACCTGCCGCGTACAGGATTCGAACTCACAACCTCAGTATTGACAGGCTTGCTATTCAGTATCGACTACTTATACCACTCGACCACCGAGGCCCCATTAAGCAATGCATATGATTGTAAAAAGTATCAACATTTTTGGACTTGACAACATCTAATTAATAACTCTATTGGCTACTACAATTTGCATGTGATAACATCTACGGTACCAACTTTAGTCCACTATATTCACACTTCAACAATTAATGTATATCTTGGGATGTTCAAAACCAAAATTTTGAAATATTAAGATATAGAAATTTTAACCTAATTACAAATGTAAATAGATAGATATAAACAATTAGATACTAATAGCACGTGCAATAATGTAATTACGGATTTTCCGTTTGATTTCTTATGATAAATACAAAAAATAATGTGCATCACGATTTAACTGTAACCTGTATTTTTTCCGCCCCTTATATTACTTAATTTTTTATCAGTTATGCTGTTGAAATCGTAGTTAATGCTCCTTTTAAATTAAAATGCAATTCTATTACAGGTCAGTTGAGGCCAGAAGGAGAAGCACCATTGGCTGGAGGATTATTGATGGGACTTGCTGGGGCTCTAGGAGGTAAATAAAGAAGTTTTTATATTAGAAATCAGAAATTGTGACATGTTCGATTTTCAGTTTCGCTTGGCAGTCGAAATAGTGCAATTTTTTATTTGTTAAAATTATTTTCCATTATCATAACCAACTCTTGTGCTTTCTCCAAAAACAGGTGGTACTTCACAGATATATGATAATGAAGTACCTGGATATATGGTAGTCTTTACTGATGGGTTGTCTGCGAATATTCACACAGAACTAGACAAAGATATTAACCCTTCCTATCTTACAGGCGATTTTCAGGTACGTCAGATTAGATTAATTTATTTTAATAAAGAGTTAAAGTTAAAATTTTATGGTTAAAATAAAATCTGCACTGCTACCTATTTTGGCTGTTAATCTTATAATGTGTAAATTATTCCTTACAGTATTAACAATGTTACCATGTTTGATTCTCACAGTAACTTTTTGTTTTTTTCTTCTTAACATAACATTTCGAGTTCAAACATTTGTTTTATCAAGTGTTGACAAATTCACTTTAGGCTTGATTAATTTTTGTTACCGAGTTTATGCTATTTTTATATAGAAGCATGCTGAGATCAGCAGTGTAATAAACAAAATAGCAGGTTATGCAGTCAAGATTTTTTATGTACCTGTTGGTGACAACGAACGAAATGAGGTAAAAAAAAGTACTATACGCTGTTTTGTTTAATTCTATACAATGGAAGAAAGGGATTCGTATATATCCTTTACATTTCTTTCCCTTACAATGGCAATATCAATTTTGTTTTATATTAAAATCCTCCATTTATGTTTCGTATTCAATATAGAATGGTTACCATTTAACATAGGTTGATATTTCACCGCCACCTAATGAGTTATATGATTCCTGGAAACAGATTTCAGTGTGAATAATAATACTTAACTTGTATGACTGTAACTGAAAATCAGATACTTTTTGTTGGCATTAAATCAATGAAGATACGAAGAAAGAATTCTTTTAGTTGTAATTGCTACACGTCTAAAAAAAAACCAAACAAAAACAAAACACAAATACGAGATTGCTAATAAGTTTCTGAAAATAAATACTGGATAAATGCCTGTTATAAAACCCTTCGTATATAGTAGTTGCAAAAAAATTAATATACTTGTACATATAAAATACTAATAAATAATCATGTATAAAAAACAGGACTTTCATTCGTCTTATAATTTTCATTGTGGTTTCTAAAACTCTGGTAAAGAGCTATCGATCTAAGAGGAATATTTTGAGTAATAATGCTTTACCTACAATGTAGTCATCAGGAAATAACTAACTGTTGAAGTTGGATACAATAATGTCGTCCATTGCCCGATGAAAGTCGTCTGCAAATACAATTGTTACAAACCAGTAAATTTAATGTTTATTGAAGGTAATGGAAAGTGCAGTTAGTGAAACCAATGGCAAAGTCATATATCATAAAGAAATACATCGCTTAGTAAGATTGACACAAGTTCTGGTAATTATAACATGATATATATTGTTATATAGAACTAAAGTAAATTAATGAAATTGAATACAATCTGATTGTCAGTGCATACCGTTTTAAACAATATGAATGCAACTTTATACAAAATCGTTCTACTAAAACAATATCAAGACCGAAAGAGACAAAACATAAAACTTTTGGGAAGCAGTTTATACAGCTGATAAGCAGCCAACAATTTCGTAGCTGTTTAAAATAAATACTACACCGATATACTATGAATAAAATTTACGGTTCCAAATTTATTGAACCAGATGCGCGTTTTGCCAATCAAAGTCTCTTTAGTGATGTTCGAGGTAAAATATTTACAATTCCAAAACCTAATATAAACGTTGAAAAGCTGATAAATACATAAAAGGACCAAAAGAAAATTCAAACCTGGACAAGAAATCAGAACTATGCAGGAAGGAGATACATTCCTTAATTAAAAACGATTTCGAAAATTTATAACAGCAAATTTAAAAACCGCAGTCGATAAAATTGACTGAAAGACTGAACACGACTTCATAATTTATTTTCAGACTTTTCAGTTGTTGTTAAGATAAAAATGAACGTTTGAGATTAAAGATCTTTTACTAGTGACGTCGTGATTGCGACCGTATAATTTTTAAAGAATTTCAGACGTTTTTTTCGTATCTGAAATAGTTTTTGAGTGAACAGTATACATCTGTTTTCAGAATTGACACACACAAACTGTTTTTCATAAAGTCTGTTTCATATGATTACAAAACAATTTGGTTTGCTTGCCTTTGGAACACCGACTGTCTGATGAAATATAGTTCCTCCAAAACTCAACAATAATTTTGTCGAAAAAAAGTCCAACAATCAGATAGTTTTAAGTTTTTTTGCTATCAAAATTAAACCAATGTTTTTTTTAAGCACTATATTTATTTATTCTGTTCATATGATTTAAGTTATTAGCAGCACAAGTAGCATCACAGTTGAGACACTTAGACCAAAATCCTACTGCAGGACTAGTACGGAGTACAATTATTGAAAGGACATCGAATCCAGAAGACGCACACGTGAGATACATATTTTGCAGTGTTTTTGATTAAGAAAGTTGTTGAAAATATGCAACGAAGTTGTCGGGGAAAGTTGCTTACTTCTACATCATTTGGTCCTTGTGGAAAGTTGCCTTATTGGAAATCCTACTAATTTTCTCGTCCTGAATATTTAGTTAACAGTATTACATCTTTACATTTTTTGATGATATGGATGTATGAAGTTTACACATTTCTAAGTATTTGATCTTAATATTCGATTTGTCGAGGTTTCAACAACCCGGATGCAACAATTTAAGAGGAAACGGATAATACCTCTTTTGATAAAATATTTGAGCAGCAAAGTAACTTGGATTATTTCTGTTCAATTTTCATCATGACACCTGCCTGTCTGGCTGATATCTAAGATTCATTATTTTTCAGACGTTTTTGTCCTTATAGGTCTGCGTAGACCAATATGATTAACCATTTAACCATCAATATGGCATTTCTCCGAAACATTTTTGAAAATTAACAGCATTCTAAGTAATGTCGGTTGATGTTACGCAAAATCAACTGTCACGTCTGTAATTACTTTTGATACGGCGCTAAATATTAATAATTAATAATTTTCTATCATAACGTAGTTTCTTTAAACAAGACTTTTGGAGAAGATTCTATGATTGCTGAACCTAGGAAATCAAAGTAATGATTTTGTTTGAATAGAAAATAGATTTAATTTCGATAAAATTTCTGATACATACTAAAGTCAAGCGAAACGACATTGAAAGTAATACATCTTTATATGGTTAAAAGCCAAACAAAAATTACCACTCTACACAAACATACACACATGTGGTGGGAAAATATTCATAGAATTGATATTTTAGGAAGATTGTGTTGATTTTGTTATGGAGTTTCTTACACCTCTTTACACTGAAAAAAGAAGAGGTTTTTTCACTGAAATGAAATTTCGATCACTGCAACTTGGAGACAGAGTACGACGTGGTCCTAATTGGTTGTATAACGAACAAGATTCTGGTCTCGCGGGAACTGTTGTTGGACATACATTTGACAGTAAGAATATTTTTTTTTGTATTGTAGTATAAGTGTATAATCTTTTATATTTTAAAAAGACAAACCAATAAACGAAAAAAAAAAATCTAAAAATATAGGGATACTTTTTATTTAATTCTAATATGACGTGCTTCTTTCGCTTTGTAAACAACACCATGATAAAATTCTCGATATATCTATACTTAGCGCAGACTCAGAGATGTGACTGTAACAATACACCTCCCACGTAAATCGAAATGTATCGTAACATATGTGCAAACGCTTTGCCGATTTCGCTGTGTTAAAAATTGCAATTGAAAAAAAAACTACTGAACCTTTATTCTTATACTGATGCATAACAAAAATAATTAATGCATTAGAGCTCGGAAAAATGTACAAAATCAAAATAAAATAAAATTCCGCGAAATTCCATTAATGGTTTTGGCACATTAAAGTCATTTCAAAACATGACGTCATACGAATGAAAACGCTAGAGCTGAAGCTTCTTCCGTTACGCGAACCCTCGAAATTCGAATAATATTGCATTAAAATGGAGTTTTGAGGTAGGTGTTGTTTTATTTTCTATTCTATTGCATTATTCGCACATTTACTGATTTCAGCAAGTGAACATGGCGGCTCCTTAGTTACTACATGTCAACTGTGGATTTGACGGTAGCTTACGAGAAAAAAATGTAAATTAAAAATGGCAAATGTTGGGGTTGAGAGTTAAAAGAATTAAACACATTTTTTTCTAGCGGTTATTTAAGAAATAATTCATGCAAGCTATAGATTTATTGGAAATTTTTAGCTTGATCTATTAGGGGGTAAAATAGAACAGCCACACACACGGCATACCCACCCTCGCTTCAGATTTTTAATCACCGTATTTGTCCTATTAGAATCGAAATAATTAATTAATTTACTTACGAAACAAAGTAGGATGAATAACTTTGCCCACATCATTAGTTTTTAATTCACCAGGTTCAATAAAAAATATAATAACATTTGGAGATATATTTCAAAAGGGACTTTATAAGAATATCCAAAACCACTTGAAAGAATGTTTGCTTGAAAGACCATGCCGGTAAGATTTGCAAAATATATCACCTCATAATTAAAAATATATATAGAATCACAGTCATTGTCAAACCATTTACAACTTGGCTTATGGTACTATTGGGGACAAACAGTGGTATACATCCACCAGCTTTATTGGTAATCTTCTTAAGTTAAAAAAACCAACAAGATACAACACACACACAAACAAACAAACAAACATTAACAAACAAACATACTAGCAACAAATAAAACAGGTTGATGGAACGGGCAACCGTAACATAGTATAAAAGCCACCAATACAGTTTCCAGATTTATTTTCTGCCTGCACTAAGTACGTGAATAACTGCAACCTATTTTTGTTTATTTCAGGAAATGTTTGGGTAGAATGGGACAGTGGTCATGTAAATAAGTATTTTTATGATGAACAAGACAACATTTATACCATTCGAAAAGTGCAAGAACCAAGATTTTTATTCGAAGAAATGATTGCTGTTGGTTGTAGAGTTAAACGAGGTACTAAAGTTTTATACTAGTAATGAATACGTCGATTTTCCTTATATATCTTAGATAACATCAATACTGTGAGAACCAAAATGTAAAATTTTCAAATTACGTAGGAGTGATAGTTAAAATTTATATGCTTAAATGTTGAAAAAAGCTTAAATCCATTATATCAGTATCAAAGTATCTGACCAAAACCGTGGTCATAGAAACCTTTGAACAAGAAAACCTTAACAAAGTATTTTGTTGTCAGCATCAAAATTTATCATGGCATTTATCCATAGCACCTTTCTTTCAGTTTTACTAACAATTATCCTGCATATTAGTTTTCTATTTCAATCGTTTTTACCATGCGCATTTAGTTTTTGTTAATCAAAATATCATTTTTCCTAAACTCATTCCTGATTGACTAATTCAATTCAAATCAAAGTTAATCCAAGTTTCAAGAAAAATTAAATGAGGATTCTATTCCACTAAGCTTTGTCAAAGTTTTCTTTGATCATTGTCATTGTCATAATCTTTCAAAAACGTTGACTAAATTTTCGTCAGTCATAGAAAACTGTGATAATGACAAAATATTGTAGACAAAACAAAATCTTCTCTGTTTAATATCACTGTTGACTGTATTCAAACATTTGATATCCAACAATTTAAACGAGTTTGCCTTTTAACATCTTTTATTCGAGCGTCACTGATGAGTATTTTGTAGGAAAAACGCAAGTCTGGCGTTCGAAATTATAAGCCCAGTATCTTTGATGATTTTTATTTTAATAACTGAACAGCAAGACCGTTAAGGCGAACAAGTTTTCCCCTTTCGTCCATAATACTAGAATAAAAAAAAATAACTAGAAAGTGTTTTTTATGTACACTTCGTTATCTTATTAGGCAATGATTGGACTTCTGACAATTCTGATGGTGGGTATGGAAGCATGGGGACAGTTCTTAGTGTGCGACAGGATGGATCTGTAGTTGTAAGTACTTCAGAATATTCCTCAGTATATTGAATGAAAGGAAATGCAGGTATATGTCAATAAGAAAGCAGTTCGACGTAAAAAAAAAAAGACAAAACAATTCTAGCTGTAATTTTTTTTTAATGGTACTACATATAAATCAGAAGAAGTGGTATGAGACGAATATCCATCCAAGTCACAATGTGTAAAAAGTAAACAATTATAGGTCAAAGTACGGCCTTCAACACGGAGCCTTGGCTCACACCGAACAGCAAGTTTTAAAGGGCCCCACAATGACTATTGTAAAACAATTCAAACAGGAAAACCAATACATGTATAAAATTGATTAAAAGGAGATACAGGGTAAAAGCCAATGAGACGGCAACCAAATGACATAAAAATAAAAAAGAACCCTTAAAATCATCAAACGGTATTTGAAATAGGCATATGGGTTTATACGTTAATATATCAAGATCTTTATTGCTGCTAGTATATATAATTAGTGGATTAATATAATTGACAAGTGCGTTCTTTCTGAGCTTTTATGAAACGGATACGAAATACAGCATGTCACAAGATTAGATCGAAGAGGCGGATCGAGTTGTTGTCATCGCACATAAATTGAACCTAATTATCAAATGTGTTCCACATTGTGAACTTCTTAAATGCAGTGTATATGCACAAAATCATCAAGTTCGCTCTTATGTTATCTATCGTCCTCCTCCCGTTTTGGAAAAATCAACAAAAAATTCGACAATTTTTGCGAAGAGACTATCATCGAACATAGTCTCGTACACCACGTTGTCGGCGCTACGCATGTCCGTTGACACACACTGGACGTTATCTTATGTAGGGAGAACTGTTCCATTGTCGATAGCGTACTGTCAATAGAGGATCTGCAAATCTGTGATGACAAAGGCATTTCCTTGCTCGATCATTTTGCGGTGCTTTGTGAACTTAATGTCACTAAACCACCGAAGCAAAAGAATGTCTGTGACTTTTCGGACGTTCAAAGGAATAATATTTAAAATATCGAAAAGGATATAAACAATTCTCTTCCTCCTAAATGAGCAGAATACTCCGTTTGAAAACGACTCAGTGCTTCGAATTGTCCTTCACAGGCATGCGTCAATACAATCAAAAGTGATTACTATGCAACCAAACACAGAGTGAAACACTGATGAATTGCGATCTGCTAAGCGTGAACGCTGCAAAGCTGAGCGACAAATGCGAAAGACAAAGCGCGAAGTTCATAAACAGATTTACAAAAAGAACATTGATCCAGGACAAGCAAACTGCTCTTCAAATGCAAGACGGATTATTATTCAAATAAAATTTCGGAAGTTGGACAGGACCAAAAGAAACTACTGAAGCTCACAAATGGTCGAATGGGAAAAACGAACGATGTGATTTTGCCATCACACCACAGTGAAATTGAACTATCATATAGATTCGGAAATTCTTTTTCCTTGGAAAAATCGAAACCATAAGGACTAACCAATGTATAATAAATGAATCGTCTGGCAATGACAATGGAGAATTCAAATACAATTTAGATTTGAAGGCCACCCACCTAAAGTCTTTATACCTGCATCTGTAGAGTAAATGCGTAAGATTATTCTGAAAGCTCCAAACAAATCATGCGAATTGGACCCACTTCCGACAAAGATAGTAAAACCTTGTATGAACAGTTTACCTACCGTCATCACCAAGATATTGAACTTGTCACTGGAACAGTGTTGTGCACCACCATCTTTCAAGTGGCGTTTGTCCGACCACTCTTGAAAAGAGGTGTTTAAAAATTATCGACCAGACTTTAATCTTCCATTTGTTTCCAAAGTAGTCGAAAAGGTTGTTGAAACTCGCCTTGAAAACCATCATTTGTCAAACACTCTTCACGACAACGTACAATTAGCCTACATGCGTCACCGTGTCATTCGACTTACACAGCATTACTACGTGGTCATCATGACATAAATGTTGCACTTGACAATACATGTTGTGCCGTTTTACTAATGCTAAATTTGTCGACCGCTTTCGATGTGATCGATGATTACACTCTAGTGAAGCGGTCGGAATTCTTTTGTTGGATAACCGGTATAGCACTTAGTTGGTTGGTATCTCGAGATTAGACATCGCTGTTGGTTCTGTTCTTTCGAATGAAAGTTTATCTAGTTTTCAAACCGCTCGATAATTGGACTAACATATCAAGGCGACATGAGGCGTACGTGGCTGTCACTTGAAAGTGGGTGTACTGTAATATGTTAAAATTAAACGAGGTTAAAATGAACTGATAGTTTTCTCCAAAAAGACCGTGTTAAGGACCTTTCAGACTTGAATCTCAATTTTGGGGAAAACATTGTCAGTGATGCTGAGTGCGTTAAAAAAATAGGCATTTATTTCGACAAAATTTTGGCAATGAACCAACAAGTGAGTGCTATTTCGAAATCCTATTTCAATCAGATAAATTTTTACATTTATTACCGAAAAAGTATGCAAAACGTTAGTATGCTCTCTAGTGACCTCTCGTTTTGACTATGAGAACGCATTAGTGGACTCCCAGCTACCATGATTAATAGATTACAGCGAGTCCAAAACACAGTAGCCAGGGTAACTACAAGGTGGAAGAAGTTCTACCACATCTCTTCAATCCTTAAGTCTCTTCTTTGGCTGCCCTGCTGAAATTTATAGCGTGTTGTTTTCATTTTTTATTCATATATACTTTTTCATGGTTCTTAAATATTTCTACCTCATTGTAATGTCTGAATTTTTAACTAAATATTTTTGAATTTCTAACTAATTTTTATTTGTACGGTTTTTATTGTCTTTATTTTACAATGTCCATTAAAATTTTGTTGTTTATCAGTAAATTTAATGGTATAGTTTTATATGCAAGAAATTTCCCATCAGATTTTTCAGTAAAATTGCCCTATTATTGAACAGAAAATGCTAAGCATGTATTATTTTAACTACTCGAGATTGTTTTTCCCAAAATTAATTTATGTTTTAGGTCCGCTGGGATTGTATTAATATTGGAGTATATAAAATGGGACAGAACGGATTGTTTGAACTTCAGATATGGTAAGTATCATATCAACGTACACATAAAAATTAGAATAACCTTGATGGAAAAAAAAACGTAATGTGATAAATAGTCAAAATTTTATATATATATATATTACTTATTATTTTCAATATTATGAAATCGGAAGAAGCATATTATGAAGTATTAAACAGAGCAAAAAGAATGTTACTGGGATTGGTCGACAAAAACATATACTTTCTCATGTCAACTCGCTGAGAAAAGAATCGCCAGACTTTTAGATAACTGCAAGACAAAATTCAATGAAAGAAAATAATGATTGGATTTCAACTGGTTAGGCTTTATGAAAATATAATGCTTCTTTTTACAGTGATTCATGTATTTAGATGTTATCTCTGACAAACACATTGATCCTTAAAGTAAACTTATTCTAAAAGGTTATCAATTTAACACTGTAACAAGATCTTCTTATATTGTTTTATCGGTACAAACATTAATTTTGTTATTATAAATTAAAACATAACTAAATATTATTGCTATAATGCTATAAAAATTTACGGTCCTACATTCTGTCGATGCTTAATTTTTTGTATTGCACAAGATCATATTTATCTCGGAATGTTTATGACGTCTTTACAATTAACCCATTGGATGTGTATTGATTGATTACTTAATCTTGGATACAAATCTTTTTATTAGTTGTTTTTGGCTTTGACCTAGCTTTCAGTAACTGTAAGTACTCTCAGGTCTGTACTTTGTGTCTTTTGAAGTCTTTTTGATAGTTGTTTTACTGTGCTTCGTGTCGGTCTGATGAGTCAAGCCTTTTTCAAATGATTTTTATAGTTTTTTTCTTATGTTGTGATATTACACTACTGTCCAAGATAAGGAGATGATTTGGCGCCCTCAAACAAGTATAACCCCGTCGCATTCACTACGTACATGTCCCAAGTCAGGATCTTACAATTCAGTGGTTGTCGTTCGTTCCTGTATACATTTGTTTTTCGTTTATTTTTTTTTTACATAAATCAGGACATAAGTTTTCTAGATTTGATTTCTTTTACATTTTTCATGTCGTGGCCTTTGATAACTTGTTATGCGGTATTGGTTTTGCTCATTGTTGAAGGCGAACTATGATTGCCAACTTTTTCGTCATGTCACTGGTGGAAAGTTGTCTCAATGTCAATAATACCACATCGTCTTATTCTTATAAATAATTTTGATAACTTTATTACTATATGACAGAAATGAAGTTAGATGTGATGTCGGGGTTAATATTTTTATTTATGAAAAAATACGTGAAATTTAGTTTGCATTTAAACAATTTTATTTTTGATCATGTATAGTGACGACCCCTTTCCAAGTAAATCGGATCAAATACCCGATTTACCTGTCTATAACTATCAAGATAGCACTGAAAGGAATACAAATTATCAACAATGTATTGATTACCAGTCAACGGGTACAGTAAAGAGTGACGACAAGGATATAACAGTGAAGGAATATTTTGATAACTATGTACTGCCTGTTCACTCTAAAACTGGTTAGTTTAATAAAATTCTGACACTTTTCAACACAAACTGTCTTAGGCAAGCTTTGCCATGATGGAGTTTCAACATAAGCTTTAGTATTGTTCCGTAATATTGAGGAAATTTACAGACAAAAATGTATACAACTATCTATTTCAACATCTTGCCATTCCTTATGAAAGTTTCAGTTTTGACATCGGATAAGTTTTGATTAGATATACACTGCTTACTGTTGTAACGTTTACTATTTGTGTGTGTCCTTATGTTTCATATCGATCATTTTAACTACAATCATACGTATACGAATTTTTCTGTTAAAAGAAAACAAATTATTAAAAAAAGAGTTTAGTCACCTATTACAAGCCCATTTTACATTTACAAAATGTATTTAAAAGCTGTCAAACCTTTAAAAGATGCAATTTTTAATATACCTTCGTTCTATTTTGAATTCTCTTATAAAAAGTATAACAAAAATACCGAACACCAAGGCAAATTCAAAAACGGGAAGTCCATAAATAAAGGCAACAGAAGTATACAGCTGTTCAATAGTCATAAATCGATTAAGCGAAAACAAATCCAGGTCACAAACCAAAACCAATGGAAACACATCAGCTATAAGAGGAAAACAACGGAACAACAGAAACACTGAACTGTAAAAAAAACCGCCAATAAACATAGAAACGGACTATTTGATAACAACTGCCATATTCCTGACTTGGTACAGGACATCTTAAGAAAAAATGGTGGGTTGAACCAGGTTTTAAGGCTAGCAAAACCTCCCGCTTATATGGCAATGTTAAAAATACCGCTAAAATGACAACATTACGTGACAGGAATACAGTACAAAAAACGCAAGAACACTCAGGACAGAGAAATACATAAATAAATAATATAATAGTATATTACCACATGTAAACCACAGAATAACAACGGACAACTCCCATTTATTTACGACAGTACACCAGTACACAACAATAGAATTATGAGATTGCGTCACACGAATGTATCAACGTCACAGATAATTTTCTAATATAAAATTGGGATTAAGTTTGTAATGGTGTTATTATGTATTTTCTAACCATTACAAGCATATTTATATAGCATTGTGTTAGTAATGGTGTAATTATTTGTATTTTCTAACCATATCGGTTTTTTTCTTCTAAATAAAAACTGTATAAAAAAAAATCCTTTGCAGATAGTTGCTTTAAACAAAAAATCATATAAATGAACTAGCTGATTAATTATCTTAACTTTTACATACATATAGAAAATAAAAAAATAGAATTAAAACCACAAACGATAAGACATAACACAATATCGAACCAGACTTAACTAAATAACTAAATACATGAATGTTAGATGTATAAATACCGAGACACGTCTAATAGCAATGCGAATTCATACTCGGCAAAACAGTCATATTCGGGAATAGGCCACGTTCGGTACTTAGCAGACCAGACGACGTAGATGGTAAACCACAATCTAAGACGTTGATAAAATGTCGTTAGTTAGTTTAGACACAGACACATCGTAAAGATCAACGAATTCGTGATGGTGTCCATAAAATTTACGGAGTGACATTTTTAATCTTTCCTCCTAATAAACACTGATAAAAAAAATCAAACGCTATCAATCAACCATATCAATCATAGAACAGAATTACTCTGATATATGGTTGATACTGAGGACATTTGCTCACATTTATTCCTCTTACAGTTAGTGCTATCTGGGAATATGAAAACGAAAAAGAAAATGTATGGACAAAGTACGAAGATGAAATTAACACAAGAATCGAGAAAGCTTACGAACGTAAACCAACTGGAAAGACTATTGTGCAATACAATAAAGGAACGTATGTTGATTTTCATTTATAATAATTATAATTTTGTCATAGTTATTTTGAAATAATCTATTAATTTTTGATTCATCATGACAAGGTGATTACTTTCACCTCCTACCTTTTGGTTTCAATTTTTTTAAACATTAAAAGTATAATTTTAAATATGTCAAGTAACTTGCATTGAGAATGATTGAATTGAATACAACACCAACAGTAAAATGCCGAAAAAAGTAAGTGATTCTTATCACTTTCCTTCTCATGTTTTACATTTCAAAGTATCATGAACAAATTTGATATTTCAGATATATTGTTTTCTTTACAAAAATGATTCAACTAAACACTTCTTCTGGCCAGGAAGTAAGGGTGCGAAGAAAAAAGTAAGTACACTTAAAAGTTAAACTGTAAGAGAAAGAGAAGCGGAAGATCCAAAGGAATATTCAAACTCATAAGTCCAAGACAATCTGTTAATGCCATGGCGAAAAGACGAACGACAGTCCACGAACACAATATAGAAAACAAAAGACTGAGCAATATGAACCCGACCAATAAACCGTGGGTGATCTCAGGGGTGCTCCGGGGAAAGGAAAGCAGATCCAGCTCCACATGTGGCACCTGTGTGTTGCTCATAAATATACCATAACGATCAACCAACTCGTGATGGCGTCTTTAAATTTATCGAAGAAACTTCAACTTCATGACTTGGAACACTTGATTTAATGGCTTCCTTGTAAGGGTAAATTTGGTGAGCTACCCAAACAGACACAATTGGTTAATGTGACAGTAACTGGTATCCAGCAGCCATAACTGTGTGGACGTACACCACAGACATACAAACCAACTGACTTAAACATTCAAACAAACATACACATAAATTTGACAAAGACTAGCTCTGGAACATCGTATCAAATGGGATATTGAAGCGCTGCTGGAATGTTGCTACACAGAAATAGAAAGTTCACAATTGAAAAAGTTGAATCATTTTTTTTGTCGTAAAGTTTTGTTCTCAATTGACCCTTATAATCAATCTCTAGATGTAAGTCAATATATAGAGCAGAATTAACTGTATCTGTGGTTTCCTATATTTCGGTGAGATAGGAGCGTTTAACAAAGTAAAAAAACTTAAATTAGTTAGTTAGAAGACATCATCTATATTGCGTAACGTGAAGTTAAAGGATATTTCAACTCCCGTATAAATTGCGATTCAAATGAATAAAGGAACAATTTGGGAAGAAAAGGAGCATACATTTCCTTTCGATTCTGCGATGCTTGTTTACACCTCTTGCATAACACTGATTCTTTGTCCGGGTGTGGATTTGATTTTTGTCCTTTTTTATTAGCTCTTCAACTTTTATATTTGGTTTTGAAGTTTTATATATGTTGGCCTCGAGGATCACTGAAGAGACAATATTTGTACCGTTAATGTTATTATACATTATAGCCTCTAAAATAACAAGAAAACTATAGAGTAAATGTGCACACGATAAAAAAGAACAATAGATCCTATTTATATTAATATAAATGTTTTATTTTCAACTCAAAAAATTCTTCTTAAGAAATTGTTACAGAGAACACATTATACATTATTGTAAGAATTAAACCATTATTAAGAATTTTCTTTTATGAAAGTGACTTTTCTCCCATTTAGATTGGAAGGATAATAGAGAAACTGAATAAAACTTGCAAAATGTTTATGCATTCTATTATATCAATGACGAATTATAGACTTAAAAACTGTCATTTAAGTTGTTTTTAATCATCGTTTAAAAAAAACCAGACCTACATTCATTTGTATAATAACAATGAGTTATCAATGATGATTTGTTTTCTTTAATAGATTGAGTGCCATTTAAAATGTCAACCTGCAACAATTCGGAACCACTATATTTTGAAGTTGGACAAGGTTTACTTTATTTTTTGACGGTCTATAGACATAGTTGTGTAAAACATAGTGCAATATTAATTATCGATAAAGCTTAGAAAATAAATTGAATTAACAGAAATGTTTTTGTCTTTTTCATCTTCTGAAAGCTGCAAAATAAAATCGGCTAGTTGATTCTGTTCGTGGCTAGCGATTTTAATAAATACAGTGTCAAATTACTTTTCTGCAAAAGTTGAAGGGATTCTTTACTAGCATTGTACATTCTTTATATAATATGAACACTCGTTATGCATTTATACAAACACAATTTACCAACCACCTGGTCACAGTGTTTGAGTACATCTGCTGTATAGACTATCTATTTGGTTTTACATAGAGTTTGTTGCTCGATATTTACACATAGTTCGTACTTTTGTTTATCTAAATATAGTTACAACGAAGGACCAACTCTTCGTAGTGCTTTAAGTATTTCATTTAGGGATGGTTGAAGACAGATTTTTTTACTGTACGGTCTGTTGCTTGTATAAAGCGTCTGAAGCGCCTTTCCGAATTTACCTTTATCAGGAACCCTCAAACCTCAACTATGTAAAAGACATAAACACGTAGATATGTGGTAAGATGGTTTGATTGTCAATAAGACAACTATCCACCAGATACCAAAGGACGACAGTATCCAAACAACTATTGGGAATTGTACGGCTATCAACACTCAGAAAATCCATACCATATATAGGGGTGAAAGAGGGGGTCCATTAACAGATTAACAATTTTTTATTTGCTCAAAACAGATAAAAGTAAATTTAAAATACTGATTACCGATAACAGCAATTTAAAATATCTTAAATGAGAAAACAGTGAATTCAAGAAAAAAAAAACAGTTTACATGGGTCATTTTTTTCAGTTAACAACAAAGTAAATTTTAAGAAAACAGATAACATCTAATTAGTCAATAACAGTTAACAGCACATATATTTTCAAACAGTTAACAAAAGTTTAAAAATGCCTATAACACTTTAACAGAAAAGATATTGCCCCCTCTATCTAGTAAGCTTTAAAAAGTCCCAACAATAAACAATGCGAAACAATTCATAAGAAAATAAAATCAGTGGCCTGTTAATGCTAAAACAATAAAAGAATAACAAATAAAGCAGACAGCAACCAACGACAACCAGTGAGTTACAGATGTCTTACTTGGAACAGGCATGTAAAGAATGCAAGCGGGTTTAACTTGTTTGTACGCGCTCAACCATCTCATAAACTGGGACAGTTTTTCGTTCATTGTTTTGTTATGAATTAGGCCGTTAGTTTTCTCAATTGAATTGTTTCATATTTTTCATGTCGGGCCTATTATAGCCGACTATACGGTATGGGGTTTTCTCATTGTTGAAGGCCATCGGGTTGCCTATAATTGCTTACATCCACTTTACTTGAACTTTGGTGGATAGTTGTCTCATTGGCAATCAAACCTCATATCTTTATTTTTATAACAAAACAACATTGGACAAACTATAAAAATCAGATTAAAAAGCTTGACGCATGAGACTGGCATTGAGCTATAGTGTGTTTTATATGCACTATTTTTTGTGCAACGTCATATGTCTCCGATCATTTTGCAAAGGCCCCATGGTTTTAAATTAAGATGTTAACTTACAAAGGAAAATTTAACCTTATTTAAAGGACTCTATGTTTATTTTTGGCTTACGATTTACAATTAAACCAAAATAACGTTTTGTAAAATTGTGAAGGGAGATAACTCCTTTAAGATTTCAATGGATTGCTTTCTGAAGATATATATACAATATATGTACATTGTCCGAAAATATGAAATTTATTTGTACGAGCTTGAGTACCTGGACGTAAAGCGAGACTCGCCGAGCTTTTCACCTATTTCGTAGTGAGTACAAATAGATTTCATACTTCCGACAATGAATACAACTAAATTGTTAGCTCACCGGGGCCCGAAGGGCCCCATGTGAGCTTATGCCATCACTTGGCGTCCGTCATCGTCCGTCGTCTGTCGTCGTCGTCTGTCGTCGTCTGTCGTCGTCGTCGTCTGTCGTCGTACACTATTTCAAAAATTTTCTCCTCTGAAACTACTGGGCCAATTACCTTCAAACTTTAACTAAATGTTCCTTAGGGTATCTTGTTTATAAATTGCATCCGAAGTTTGTATCCATCAACAAACATGGCCGCCATTGCTAAAAATAGAACATAAGGGTCAAATGCAGTTTTTGGCTTATATCTCAAAAACTAAATCTTTTAGAGCAAATGTGACATGGGGTAAAATTGTTTAATTGGTGAAGATCTATCGGCCCTGAAATTATCAGACGAATCGAACAACCCATTGGTGGGTTGCTGCCACCGAATTGGTAGTTTTAACAAAAGTTTGCAGTATTTTGTTATTATTTTGAATATTATTATAGATATACATAAACTGTAAGCAGCAATAATGTTCAGCAAAGTAAGATCTACAAAAAAGTTAGTATGACCAAAATTGTCAATTGACCACTTAAGGAGTTATTACCCTTTAAAGACAATTTTACACAATTTGTTCATCAAGTTTGCTAACATTTAAAAATCTTCTCCTCTGAAACTACTGGGCCAATTACCTTCAAACTTTAACTAAATGTTCCTTAGGGTATCTTGTTTATAAATTGTATCCGAAGTTTGAATCCATTGACAAACATGGCCGCCATGGCTAAAAATAGAACATAAGGGTCAAATGCAGTTTTTGGCTTATATCTCAAAAACTAAATCTTTTAGAGTAAATGTGACATGAGGTAAAATTGTTAAATTGGTCAAGATCTATAGGCCCTGAAATTATCAGACGAATAGAATAACCCATTGTTGGGTTGCTGCCACCGAATTGGTAGTTTTAACAAAATTTTGCAGTTTTTTGTTATTATTTTGAATAGTACTATAGATATATGTAAACTGTAAGCAGCAATAATGTTCAGCAAAGTAAGATCTACAAAAAAGTTAATATGACCAAAATTGTCAATTGACCCCTTAAGGAGTTATTGCCCTTTAAAGACAATTTTACACAATTTGTTCATCAAGTTTGCTAAAAATCTTCTCCTCTGAAACTAATGGGCCAATTACCTTTAAACTTTAACTAAATGTTCCTTAGGGTATCTTGTTTATAAATTGTATCCGAAGTTTGAATCCATTGACAAACATGGCCGCCATGGCTAAAAATAGAACATAAGGGTCAAATGCAGTTTTTGGCTTATATCTCAAAAATAAATCTTTTAGAGTAAATGTGACATGAGGTAAAATTGTTTAATTGGTCAAGATCTTTAGGCCCTGAAATTATCAGACTAATAGAACAACCCATTGTTGGGTTGCTGCCACCGAATTGGTAGTTTTAACAAAATTTTGCAGTTTTTGTTATTTTTTTGAATAGTACTATAGATATATGTAAACTGTAAGCAACAATAATGTTCAGCAAAGTAAGATCTACAAAAAAGTTAATATGACCAAAATTGTCAATTGACCCCTTAAGGAGTTATTGCCCTTTAAAGACAATTTTACACAATTTGTTCATCAAGTTTGCTAAAAATCTTCTCCTCTGAAATACAGGTGAGCGATTCAGGCTCTTAAGAGCCTCTTGTTTTCATCCTGTTCTGTACACCCGACACTTTAAGGTTTAATAGGTTAAATCCAAATAGTTGTCTCAGACTTTTCAAAGAAATCGACATAGTTTAAATGCTAAGGAGACCTCAAAATGAACTGTACGCAAAAAAAGAAATATTCAAATTACACCTTGCTCAATATGGACGCGGAGTAACAGGTGACTTATTTTGTACAAGAACAAATAAAAAAAAAAATATGTGTACCTGTTATTTGTACAATAGTTGGATAATTGCAGGATAAACCAAACTTTTTAAAACAACCCAGTTTGGTTACGAACAAAACGACATCACAACAAATCCATGTTAGGGGTGATAACTCGTATATAGAAAATTGTTCGGACCAAAGAAATGTTTTAAGCCCAAGAACTTTTGGAATCATTTACTTAATTTCTTTTTGACAGTGCAAGAAATTGATAAGCCTGAAGGAGGAAAAATTACCGAGGGTTGACATCTGATTTAAATCACCAGTTCTTCAGTGTGTAGTAGGTCAGCAATCAGTCATTAACTATTCGTTCCCTGTGATAATATGTTAATTGTGTTACTGTTTTCCCTTCAGATATATTGATGATGTTCCGTCACTCCATATTCCACATTTCAATGACTGCTAGATCTCATATATCCTAGTGAACTTGAGATTAAGAATACTACCGATAGAAGAATGTCTGCTTCGTATTTTGATCTTTTCCTCGATATTGACACAGATGAACGATTTCAAACTAGAATCATGACAAACGTGATGATTTTAACTTTCCAATTGTCAACTTTCTTTTTTCAGCAGTAATATACTCTCTTTTCCATCGTATGGCGTTTACATATCTCAGTTATAACGTTACGGTCGTGCATGTTCACATTATACAGACTTTATTAACAGTGATGTGTCCCTTACACACAAAAAAAATGCTGCGTTAGAGTTATGAGGAAGAACGACTGAAATCGACACAACATAATTTTTACGGTCACAATCACGAATTATTTGACTGAAACGATGAGTCGATGTCTCAACTCACGATCGACATGTTTTCGCGGTCTTAGATGTTAAGATCTATAATTAAACCGAATGTGTCATATTTCCGATTATAACATTTTGACTGAGTGTCAATTGGCATGGTGGGTGATGCACGCATAGCAGGAGACACTTATCCTGTCGGAGCACCCGGTCTCGATCCTTTTGGAGTTCATGCGATTCACTAAATTTTTGTTTATAACATGTACCTTGGTTTGTCTCGATTTACGAGATTTGAACATCAGTAAATTGCTGTCGCCTTAATTTCGCAATGTTTCATTTAAATTGCATTCTTGATCCCTTTTTATCATGTTATAGTCCTAAAGGACTTGAAATGACACATGTAGGTTAATCCCGGATAATGGCGCCTTCTAACTGTCTGTAGGTCTTGCAATCGTTTTCGACGTTTTTGAACGGCAAATTAAGATCTACGCAAACATATAGTCTGCAGAAAATTTTTTTAGGGAACATTTTGATAATTCA